GTATGTGAAGAGACTGTTCTCTCTGAGCGTTGAATCCAGCATTTGGATAAGAGAAGAGACTGTTCTCTCTGAGCATTGATTCTAGCTATTGGGTATGTGAAGAGGCAGTTCACACTGTACGTTGGTTTCGGCCCTTGACTAAAGAGACTGTTCTCTCTGTGCCTTGGTTCCAACTTTTCGGAATGTGAGGAGACTGTTTTTCTCAGTGCGGCGGTCACCGGTTTCGAGTGCGAGAGAAGTCTAGTTTCTCTGYGTTATGWTCTCAGCTTTGCGTTCCATCTTGGAGACCATCTCATYATGAATCTTTATTTTCCCCTTTTATATTCCGCCTTTGTTTTATAACTGAGAACTRCATCATACATATTGAAATCCATTGCGGCAATTGTATATCCTACCGAACTGTTTGATCTAAGTGTAATCAGTTGAGGCCCAACGAGGAGGAAAATCAGCAGGCAGCAAAAACCTACACACGCTGCTAATCGTCGAGGACCTCGGAAGCGGGCGCGGCGAGTGACAGGCGTCGTTGCCCTTGGGTTCGGCGAGCGGCAGGAGGTTCTCTCCCCGGGTTTCCTCACAACAGTGGCGCCGTTGCCGGGGAGGGGAGTAGCACCCCCAGGGCCGCGGCCTTCCCCAACCAACGGGGGTGCGCAGGGCTGATTTTCCACCTCAGGAAAAGAGGCCTGGAGGTAGTCGTGGTTTACCTGGAGGTAGTCGTGGTTTACCCATGTTTCCCACTGAAAGGGTATCACCGGGGACCAGCGGGCTCACCTCTCTCTCTCTCTCTCTCTCTCTCTCTCTCTCTCTCTCTCTCTCTCTCTCTCTCTCTCTCTCTCTCTGTGTGTGTGTGTGTGTGTGTGTGACAACCTGCTCTCTCTGCTCTTCACTCAAATAATGGGATGGAAGATAGGATGTTTCCCTTAGCTGGGACAACAGTCAGCTTAGATGGAGGCAGCCATATGCAGACAATGTGTGCGATATTAGTGAGCATAACGGGCTTTTTGTCTTCTTAATCTGTTGACATCTCTTGGTTCTGCCTCTATTTGTGTTTGCCTTCTGTCCGCAGGACCTAGCGACTGGAAAGTGCTTCCTGTTCATGCCACTGCTTCCAAAGGACTATGCTGTGTGGATGGGGACGATTCATGGCCCAGAGCATTTCAAGGTTGGTGATATCTGCAACCCCCAGCCCTTGTGGTTGAGTGGTTCATGCATGTTGCTCGTAGTGAACGGATCATGATTTCAGACTTCAAATCCTGATTGAAATCGGATAAATAGTATGAATAACATCGAATACTATAATGTCAGGGGATCTCCCCCCTGTTAAAAAGGAAGGTTGGTCAGCTGGGGTCATGATAAACTGCATGCTGTTCCACTTTTGGATGGAGGCCCTGGAGGGGTCCACATTCCCTTTGGTTTGGTTATGTTGAATAGTAAAACCAGAAGGAACATCGTCAAGAACATCGGATGATATTATAGTTTAGATTTCACATCAAATTTAAAATTTTCATCTGTCGAATGATTGATCCCCATAAAATATGCAGGCTGCTGTGAATGGCTCGGTTGCCAGCAGTTCTTGCGTTGTTGTATTGTCATGTGCCCTTGTTTTGATGTTACCGTTCCACATTTCTTTGGAGAGCCTTAAGCATTTTTCTGCTGCTAATGTCGCCCTTACCCAATCCTTATCCTACCCTTATCCTACCCTTATCCTACCCTTATCCAGCCCTTATTGACAGCAGTTCTTGCATTGTTCTACAGTCCAACCCTTTCCTACCCTTATCCCACCCTTAAAGCACCAGTACACGGCACAGGTGGCAATCGGGTGCCGCACCCACCTGCCCCAACCTGCCCACAAGGTGATGAGGGCCGGCCTTGGGTCTACCTATGCCTTCTTGGGTGGGCGACGGGTGTGTGCACGTAGTGGGCGGGTCTGGGTCATGGGCGGGTCAATTCTTGCTCTGGGTCACCCAATGCCGGGCCAACAGGTGGGTGACAGGGCGGGTCCATATTTTCTCTGGGTCACCCGACGCATAGACCCAGGACCACCTGAAAAAACGCCAACGCTCCCCCCCCAAAAAAAAATTAAAAAAAAATGAAAAGGTCTTGGATCAGCCTGTCCAGCGGGCACGCCTGAGGTTGCTAGAATAGAAAACGCAGGCTTGTGTACAATCATTATAGGCACCCAAGGACTTGATCAGCATGTGAATCTATAGGGGATTTCATTAAAATCTGGATTGTGAGGATTGATTTATAGCTCGTTTCATCCCAAACTTTCTGAACATTATTGACACGGTGTAATAAGCCTCCAATTGGCATTGTTGATATTGTTGGTGTGTTAATAGTAAGATTCCAATTGTCTTTGTAGCAAAGTCATGTTGTCGATGAATATGTACCGGTGTAAGGGACTAGCACGGGTGAGGCGGTAAAAATTTAGGTCTCAAATGCGGGCGGGTAATGATGTTCTTACGGGTGTGGGTGGGTCTAGGTGAGCACTTTATTTGGGTGCTGGGCGGGTTGGGCGCGGGGCTGAAATTTCAAAAACTGTTTTGGGTCAGTGGGGTCATCTTGAATCGGGAATTAAAATTATTGGGTCGGGTGGGTGGTGCAAAAAAAAAATTGGGCGGGTTGGGTTAAGGGTGAGGAAAAAAAAAAAATTGTCACCTCTGTCGCGCGGCCCCTCCGAGTTTTGCTTGTGGCGACAAAAAAATTCTGCAAGGCTGGGGCCGTGTACTTGCGGTTTAAGCATTTCTCTGCTGTTAACGTTACCCTTATCCTACCCTTATCCTACCCTTATTGCCAGCAGTTCTTGCACTGTTCTACAGTCTCATGCCCTTGTTTTGATGTTACTGTTCCACATTTATTTGGAGACGCTTAAGCATTTTGCCACTGCTAATCTCACCCTTATCCAACCCTTACCCTACCCTTATCCATCCGTTTTCAAGACCTTTTCCAGCGCTTATCCGGCCCTTATCTGGCCCTTATGCAGACCTTAACCAGCCCCTTATCCAGCCCATCATCCTGTCTTTTGTGACAGCATACTGTGAGTCTCATTACCTATTGTGCAAAAGTTGGCGTTGTGAGTGATTCTGTTTGCTTTTGCCTGATGCAATGCAGGACATGTACGAAGTGGATGGTGTGTTCTACGTTGAGGACATGCCTGAGGTGCTTGCTGAAATGGGTGAAGGTGGAGAGCGCCCAACTCTTTACCTGCTGCAGGGAAAGAATACTGATAGTGGAAAGATGTGTAAACCAGCTTCATTCAAGGTAAAAAAAAAAAGTTCAAAAAGTTGAGAAACAACAACCGAAAAGAACGTTGCCTCCTCTTGGGCCACTTGTGCACATAGCACCATCCTTTGGGCTTCTGCAGTGCAGGAACTTGGAAATTGAATGCATGCCTAGATAACCCACATGATGAGGTCGGACTATCTGGCCCGGTTGTCCCGGCCGGACATGTCCTGGATGACCTGTCAGGCAAATACAAATAAGTCAGAAACGTCCTAGCGGGGGATTTTGTCAGTCTTGGATAAGCATTTGATTATTTTGCGCTTGCCAAATGGTTCGCAAAAGTCCAAACATGTTTCCAACCGCATCTTGGATAAGCATTTGATTATTTGAAGGGGTATCAAGGGGGTCAAAATGGGTTTGGACCATAGCTACGCTGGACCAGACACCGGACCGAATCTGAACCCCGGACCCCGGACCTCCCGGGCCCTTCCGGAGTTCCGGGAAACCGGAATATTCCGGAATATCCGGACCGACCCGGACCCCCTGTCCGGATCCCGGTCCGGATCACCTATAGT